AAGCTTGACCTGACGCTTACCTTAGAAGCCGGACGTCGCTCTGTGTGCTTGAGTGGAAATTCTGTTCTGTATTTAAGCTTACCCTTTCGGGTCTATTCCTAATAAGAAGTCCTAATCAAGTATACAAATATCAAGTGAACAATGATCCGTTATGGATCTTCTTGCATGCCAAGCGTCGACTGCACCGTCGCATGAGCATCTTTAACGGTCCGCGCCCTGTCCCAGACGGTGAACGTGTCTTCCAAAGGTCGCTGAGTATTCCGCGAACTCATCCCAACCGCCACTAAGGGTTCGTACCGTAGATGGTCCACTGAATGCGAATCCGGCCAGTCCATTATTAATAATAAGGACAGCCTGGATTCAGTGACATAGGGCCGTATCCGATACTTGTTGAAAACTCGGAGGTGACGCCGTCGAGTCCCTTGCACCTTGGCGTCTCCGTACATCACCCGACCGAGGGTTCGTCGCTTGAACAACTTGGGCGGTGTCACGTCTTTGTCGACGGGTGATAATCCGCAACCACGGAGAAATCACTACACCACAACTGCCCCTGTCGCAATGGAAGCCACGGTACTGGTGCCCGTTGTGACATTTCTTCATTCTTCAATTCACCATCTCGCCACCGTATGTCTAAGCGTCTAATTCGAGCTGTGTCCGACGCTTTTCAGCGTCTCAATCCTCGTAGACGTCGCGAACGTGAACAGCTGGAGGTACGTCAGCTGATCCTTCTCTTGAATCATCGGCACTTTGCTCATCATCTCGCATTACTCGACTTGTTTCTCAGGAGGGCAAGGCCGAGGGTTCGAACGTCCCTCAGTCTGCTACACTTCCTCCGACAGCGGCGTCATCAACTGGTCCTTCGGCGCTTCCTGCCCCAGACTTTTCACTCCCTGCGGTAGCTCCTGCAGCACTCCCCGTCGTCGCTGAATCCGCGGAGATGGCTCCTGCTGCTCCTCCTGCCCCAGCTGGTGGTCCACCACCACTCACCGAAGATTCGCTGCGCGCCATGCTGGCTGAAAGTACGGAGGCATCGGTCGATCACATGATGACCTCGATAATCCCGTACTTGACTGCAATGGCTCGTCACCAAGTGCAGCTCAGCGTTGCGCCTCCTCTCCACGGCGATATACACACTCAGCGTCGCCTCGAGACTGCTGTTGGTTTCGATGATGTCCTCGCTGCGGTACAACCTGTTCCTGACGCGCTGTCGGCATTACCCGAACGAGTTGCCGACTTGGAGCGTCAGTTGCGGTTTGCTCAGTCCGAGGCTGCTGCCGCCGTACGTTCGGTGGCACCCGAAATCATGGCTCGTGAGAGCGCGGAGGCGTTCCTCAAGGCTGCCAACGCTGAGATTGAAGCCCTTCACCACAATGTCAAGATCCTCCGCGAGTCGAGTGAATGCCAAGAACGACGCCATGCTCGCTACCGTTCAAGCCACTATGAAGCGACACGCAGAAGACTTGAATCGTCTGCACTGCGAGGTCCAAGCTCGGGACGTTTTCATCAGCACTTTGCAAAAGAAGCTGGCTCGCGAACGCGAGGTGTACAAGTCTTCTATTGAAGCGAATACCGAGCAGACTCGGAAGCTTCACCTCCTTCCGGTAAAGCTTGCCCAGGGCAAGTACGTTGATAACGACACGCTCAAGGTCCTTGAGAACCAGCAAGACCGTAAAACTCGCCTCCTCCAAGCGAATCGTACCCTCCGTGCACACGTGAGTCTGGCCGGGATGGATCCCGAGGTACTTCCTCTGGCTGTTGAAGGTACGCTCTTAATGTCGCTCCTTCCACCGTGTGTTCAGCAACTAACGTTCGTTCACAATCCTTCGTGATAGGTCTGACTGCGGGTGAGCTGGACCTGGACGCGCTGGACTTGGATCAGGAGACGTTAGTCGCTCTGCGGCGCATTCAGTCTGCCACCGCGTCTTCGGACGATCCTCAAGCCCTTCCTGCAGCTTTGGCCAAAGCCGCTCACCAAGTGGACCATGGGAAGTCCCATAAGCGTCTTAGACCAGGTGGCGAAGATTCAGACGACGAGCCGGACGACGCTGACGAAGAAAAGGCTCCAATCCCAACGGACAAGGCCAGTGCTTCGATGGCAGCTGCCGGTCTCGGTGATGCGCCACCTGCCGATACTTCAACTCCCAAGTCGGCTCGTAGATCGCTGTTCGGTCCGAAGGCGTGGAAGAAGGCGGCCCAGAAGAAGCGCAAGAAACCCCGTCCTCATTCTCCTGCTAAGTCGCCACGACGTCATATGAAGACTCGGTCCAAGTCTGTACCGTCTTCTCCAAGTTCATGGTCGCCACCTCCTACACCAGCGTCTTCCTCGACTCCCGCCGTGGTCGACCTCAGCAGCGACCAGAGTGGCGTAGACATGGGGACTGCTGATCTAGGCAGCGTCTCTTCGGTTCAAGAAACTGCTACAGAGTCTTCGTGTAAGGATGTGAACCTGGGGGATCACGACGATGTTCCCGTCTCTCCTGACTCGCCTTTAGTCCCTCTACACGATGTGGCCAAGTCACCAGCTTCAACGGATTTCACCTTCTCCAGCTGACATACCGTGCTGCTTGAAGAAGGCTTCTGCGCGGAGGTCCGAGGAAATGCCGGCTTCATGTTTTGACTCCAGTTGACCGAAGGTGAAGAGTCCGGAACCAAAACTGGTCCTCACAGGGCAAGTCTGCTTTCCGGGTGGTGATCCCATTAACTTCCACAC